GGCTGGGACATGGGAGAGTTTAGGCCCTAAAGTTATTGAACTCAATACCGAGTCCGGAGGGCTGTAGGGTCCCCAAGCGGAAAATGAGGTGTTGTTCCTCCAGCCTGCGTTGGGCTTCACTGGAACACTGTAGCAAGCCAGAGACAGAGATGTTGGCCAGGGGGCAGGGTGGTGTGTTAAAGTGGCAGGCAACAGGTAGTTCAGGGTCTTTTTTGTGAGCAGAACGTAGATGTTCTGCGAAGCGGTCGCCAAGTCTACGCCTCGTTTCCCCAATGTAGAGGAGACCACATTGTGAGCAGTGAATGCAGTAGACTAGATTCTGGGAAGAGGAGGTGAAGTGTTGCTTCACCTGGAAGATATGTTTGGGCCCTTGGATATTGGGGAGGGAGGAGGTAAACAGGCAGATGTTGCACCTTCGCCGGTTACAGGAGAAGGTGCCGTAGGGCTGTGGGGAGGTGTTGGGGGTGAAGGAAGTGTGGACCAGGGGGTCCCAGAGGGAACGGTCCCTGCAGAAGGTGGACAAGGGAGGGGAGGGGAATATGTGTCTGGTGGTGGCATCTCGCTGGAGGTGGTGGAAATGGCGTCTGATGATTAGTGTCAGAATACTGCCTTTCTTCTGCATGGCACAGACTGGTTCAGTCCCAACTGTCTGCCTGGCACCTTCTTTAGATAGACTGCTGGGTCTGAGAGAGTGAGGGGCTGAGATATGCCCACTTACACAGCGCAGAGTGTTTGGTGGGTCTCTGCCTGTGATTGAATGCACCGGAAAAACATTGACATGTACCTTTTCTGAGTGAGAACATGTATGAGAGAGTGCACAAGGCAATTTCATTCATTACATTCAAAAGGGACCAGGACAGCATTTCACAGAACTCAGCACAGGGAATATGATTAATTAGATAGCTGTATCCAAAGCACTGGTGCAGACACAACAGGCCAACAGAGGAAATAATTATTCTTAAAGATTCCTGTCCCCTCAGAACCTGTGATCTCAGAGGCATTGTAATGAACACACTCACACTGATACAAATGAAACCACACTCACACACATTATCACACTCACACACACTGTCACACTCACAGACACAGATGTAGTCACACTCACACACACACTGTCACACTCACACACTCTGTCACACACACACACACAGTCACACTCACACACACTGTCACACTCACAGACACAGATGTAGTCACACTCACACAGACACTGTCACACTCACACACTCTGTCACACACACACACACACAGTCACACTCACACACACTGTCACACTCACAGACACAGAATAGTCACACTCACACACACTGTCACACA